AAGACGACGTACCGGTGCGACAGACACTACACCACGAGTCCAATGAAGTGAAGATAATGACAAACAATATGTTTTCCAAAACACTCTTTATATCCAACGTTTCCAATGAGGACTCCGGGAACTACACGTGTATTGCGTCCAATAGGGTGGCCAACACCTCCTACTCCACCATTTTGAATGTTCAGGGTAATTATACTGTCATACTATTATCTATTATATGGTACTATCATATTACGAATATAACTACCGTTAATAGTGTCTGAAACTGTAATAAACTAGTAAATTAATCTGATAGTTACATGCTTGCTCATTTATAAAATAATTGATTATTTAATTTTGTTTAACCATCAATTTTATTTATAAATTTATATCTTTAAATTATTTTCACTTACAATTATATTTGCTATGAAATTATTATTTATTTATTAAAAACAATTTTATTCTAATATTTTGGTATAAAGATTTAATATTAACTAATCTTATAAACCAAATAACTTGATTATATTTCGTACATTCCGTTAATGTTTCAGAAAAGCAAATAAAAACACTAATAAAAAACTAATTGCATTTCTTTCGCAACAAAAATAAGTCTCTCTCTCTCTCTCTCTCTCTCTCTCGTATTGACAGCAATTTTGTCCAAATTTTTGATCACAAAAACTATTGATTTAATACAAGTTGTCTCCAAATTCACCGATAGTTTGGTTCACAATATAAGACTCTTTGAAGAGACGAGAACTTCACGAAAAATACTTGTTTTGTATCTATAGTTACAAACAGTTATTGACTAATAGATTAGGAATTTGTGATAAATTTTATGAATGGTTATCAAAATAGTTATACAAAAGTGAGTAATTTGGATATATTTATAACAAACTCTAATGATAAATTAAACTGTATTATAAAGTTATAAATTTACTTTTAAAATACTTATAATATACTTTTTTTAATCATTATTTTATTAAATTTTGTCAAAATATAACGATATTTAATTAATTACAAAATAAAAAATGTCTTAGATGAGACGTTCCGATAAAACTATAGTTAATTTACTGTAATATTAAAAAATTAATTTAAGATTAAATTCCTGTTTGAAATTTAAATTATTAACTTATAAAATAAATCTTATAAATCAAATTATTGTATGAAAATAAGTGATTTAATATTAAAAAACAAAAAAGTTTTTATAATGTTACCAATTATTTGAAAACAAACTACTTTATAATTTATTATTAAGTAAACTAAATTTAACTAAATTTTTTGTTTAATTTTTTTTATTATACTTTTAACGTCCAGTCAGGTGTAATTTAATTAACAACAACAATTTTAGTCCAGAACAAAATACTGTTAATTATTTTATAAATTCAATTAATAATTAAACAAATCATTCAAACATTTCTAATGTTGTAACGCTTGGCAGTTGTTCTGGTCTTTTATACTTAACCAAAATAACCTGGATAATTGCAATTAATATAATCGAGCATATAATTAAAATTAGATTAAAATAAAATAGTGAATTTGGATCACGCGCAATCGTGTGACCTAGAATCAATGGTATCATAATTGACACTAAATTCGACAAAAATAAATTCATCACGCCAACTATATTGGTAACCGGGGTCAATTGGGATATCAATTGAAAAACGGCCCCATAAAATGGGCCTAACCCCATACCATAAATGGCTATTATTACCCACAGTAAATACTGTGAATAATGGATACAGGTCAAGCATATAATATTTGCGATAAATACGATGGTCAATCCGGCCATTATCATATACTGTGGGGCTACATATTTTGATATGAATATTGCAGCGAATCGGCTCAATGCTGTACCACCGCCTATAACGGTGATCAAATAAGCGCTTAATCTAGGGCTCATATGCAAGTTACTATACTGGGCATACGCTGAAATATTAGCATTCATTGCATTACCTGCCCCGTATAATAAGGCTTGTAAGCATGCACATAATATTGTATAAACTAGAATAATCTTTGAAGGAGCTAGTTGACATTTAACATTGTTAAGAATGTTTTTGAAAGCTTTTCGTAAGTTATTCATGGGTACTTGGCCATCAATGTTATCAAGTTCCTTTCTTTCATTGATAATTGGTATGGTGTATAGTCTAATATAATTGATCACTCCCAAGATTAATCCACAAATAACGCTCGATATCCCCAAAAACATGTATGGAATCCATATTCTATGAGGCGTGAGAAACGGGTCGACCACTACGGATGTCAGCATACCTCCGATACCTGATAATAATTGAATGGCTTGTATGTAAGGCCCAGACTCCCGGCCCCACATTTCAAATATCCATACGTCAAATAAAAGCATAGGTCCAACTATGCTAACGCCAGATATTAGATTTAATATATAAACGATTTGTAAATAAATAACATCCGGTATTAATGCGGTACTCACTCCCAACGATATTAAGCAAATTGTCGTTGCTAGTTGCTTGTTTAACGAGTGATAACCATACCCTTGAAAAAATTATTTTTAAAAACTAGTCAGTCACATTGTAATATACTAATTTATAAATCAGAATTTTGAAAAATATTTTGTATGCAATAAGTAAATTATTATATTTAATTTAAAAAAATAAAATTATTAATATTACAACCTAACGCCCCGACCGTCATCCCTATGGAAAGCATGTCGTTAGCATTTGATATGCCGGACAGGGAGGCGTTGTATACCGATTGCAAAGTCGTAACCGTCGTTCCCGAGACAGTGGCCGCAAACTCCTTATTAATAATGTTTTTGTAATTATTTTATTATTAATTAAATTTGCTTTATAAACAATTTTCATCATGCTCATATCAACAATAATATATTTACATTTATTTGAAAAATGACTTACTTTTACAAAACATATTGCACATAGCGTAATCGTTAAAAATAGTTTGTACTTCCGAGTTATTTTAATTACCATTTTACTACCCTGTACTATTTTACTTGTATTAATAATATTTATAATTTATTATAAAATGTTAACTAAATTTGTATTGTCCAGGACACTATTAAACATTTTGATAAAACAAATAATTTCATAATAATGATGACTAATTAATTTGATATAATGAATAATCATTTTTATAAAATTATAAAACTGTTTATTTAATATCTTGATTCTTTTTCTAAAATAAGATTACTTATAAAATTAAATAATATTTAAATTTTATCATATTTTTAACATCCAGTTCCCCCAAAATGGGTGATCTCTCCGATGGACACGGAGGCCATAGTGGGCCAGAAGGTGGTCATGAATTGTGTGGCCAGCGGTCAGTCACGTGTTTGGTGGGAGAGGTCGGAGGTGGCGGAC